GTCGGCGGTTAAGGGTAAACCTATAAGTAAATAGGCTATATAATAAACTTGGGTATGCCTTTAAATAGCGATCGTGTAACCTGCCTAGGAGTTATCTTCATGCTTATATAGGTATATCTCCTTATCGCTCTATAATGGCTAAGTAGATATTTATATATTGCTATATTTATAGTAAGCTTATACTTAGCTCTAATTAATCTATGAAGTTCTCTATAATACTCTTAATTAAAAGAGCTTACTAAATATCTAGGGTATTTCTAAGGGCGGTATAAGGGCAGGAAGCTTTATAACTTTATTATTTTTATTAGCGAGGTATTTAGCGAAGTTAGAAATTCATAGCTATTAGTTATATTCGCAAGTTCGCACGGGATAATACTATGAGGGAAGGCATATCTTCTCGCCTATATCACAGGGGTGCGGATAAGGTATAAATCGATCTGGTCGCGGATATAGAAGATCGTGATTAGGAAGATAAGGCGAATTAATAAGGTAATTAAGGCCTCTACGCTTTAACTTAGGAATATTATATTTACTTAAGTATTCTAGGCAGGAATAGAGCCTATTCCTAGTTTTAAACTAATCATAGAACTAAAATTTCTCCTAGAGTTCTATAACTTAGAATAGCCTTATTCCTAAATCTATTATATTTAGCGGAAACATATAATAGGGTATTAAACAATTAGCTCCATAGGGATTAGAGATAGTATTAATAAATTAATAAGAATTATCTAAGGAGTAAGAACTTAATAGCAAGACGCATTAAGTCATATAGCTCTTTATATATAAATAAAAGTATTACCTATTTAGGTAATAGCAGCTATATTATAGGTAGCTATGCTAATAAGACTAAGGCTTAATATATGATAATTTTTAATACCTTAATTAAGAGCTCCCTCTTAAATAAAAGTAAAATATAGGAAGATATAAGGATTATTAGCTAATAAGATCGTAAAATATTTACTTTTAGTAAAAATAGGAGGATCATAGAGATATAATTAGTATTAATAGAATATCATACTATTTCTCCAAAGCCTACCTTAGTATATAGAGCTTATATAAGATAGCCCGGCTCTATAGCAAATAACCTTTAGCACCTAAGATAAATAGCACGATAGATACTACTAATAAATAATACAAAGGGAGATATAAAACGATAATAAGGGCATATTACCTCAAGACTAAAGATACTAAGATACTACTAAGTATGCGCCTAGATAGTATTATTAACTCTGCGGTAATAAGTTACTCTTTTAGCTAGTATTAAGTCGCTCTCGAACTAATAAATATCATAAAAGCAGGTAAGAATAGTATCTTTATTATAAGTCTCTAGCTCTAGCGCTTAGGCATTCTTAATATTAAAGCTACTATTATTACCCTATTGACTTCCCTATGAGTTTAGGAAGCTAAGTAATTAAGGATTACATTAAGTTATTACGATAGTATAGCTACTACTATCTTTCCCCTAGCGGTATAGCTATATAGCTGCGGATATAAGTACTCTAATAGGTATAGGTATTTCTATATCTCGGTAAAAGTGCCTAGTAAAGGTATCTTAGCCCGACTTAGAGAGATAAAAAGTTATTAAGATAAGTCATCGCTATAGAATAGCCTAATAAGAGCTATCTTTATCTATAGCCCGGAATCATAGTAGCTAATACTACTTAACCACCTGCTTTATTACCTTAGCTATAGGCTACCCTCTCTTATTAGTAGGGAACTTTTCTAGGATCCTCTCTCTAATAGTTTAGATACTTAGATAGCCCCCCTCGCGATTAATAATACGAAGCAGGGCTATATAAGTTATAGCAGCCATAGCATATATATAATAGACTCTTTTATTCCCTTAGTCTAATAGGTTCATATAGGTCTATATATACTTACTATTTATATAGCTATTAAGGTCTATTTTTCCTAGGATATTAAGGAAAATATTAGCGCTATTAGACTAAGCTAATAAAAGAAACAAGTAAAATTCCTTAAGAGTATCTATATTATATATAATTATATAAAGACTATATTCGCCTAAAGATAAGATACTCTAGCCCATAGACGCTATAATAAGAATTAAATAGGCGCTACCTTAGATATAAGTTATTATATCGAAAAGAATATACTACCTCTTATCTTAATTAGCTATATACTCATTATATAGACTTTTCTATATTACTATAATATAATCTATTAGGAATATTATTACTATAGTAATATTCTTATCTCTTAATTTATAAGCGAGTAATAATAAATCCCCGTCTATTAAATAGCTATCTAAAACTAATACTAGAACTTATTACTAAGTTAAGTAGGTACTAAAAACCTTAATAGCCTTTTAGAGGGAATATCTTATTAGGGTACTACTATATATATAGTATCACAGGCTATCTAAAAGTATACTCTGCCTATTAATAATATAGCTATGACTATTAGATAATATATAGCTATTGATCTATTCTAATAGACTAATAATAGACTTAATTTTCCGCGGTCTAAACTTCTAGAATTTATTAAGCTAATCTATTAAGATTTTCCGCGCTATTACTATAGCCTTAGAGTTCTCCGTTATATTATTAATCGTCTCGCTAATAAAGCTAAAGCTAAAAGATTTTATAAAGTCGCTAATTATCTTAGCTATATTAATACCTGCGATCATAGAGAAAGAGCTTAGAATAATATTAGCGAACTTCTTAATTATTTATAGGTTCTATATTAGGTAATTATAGATAATCTATGCCTTATACTCCTTAAGCTTAGTCTAAATATATTTCATAATATAAGATCGGCCTTAATAATTAGTTAATTAGATTAAAAGGTAATACCTATTTTACTAGCTATTTATTAATATAAGTCCCTCGATTATACTATAGAGATTAATTAATAATAGAGCTCTTTTACTAGTATTAAGTCTAAAAATGCCTATAAAAAGAAGCGCGTCTAGGTTATATTACTATTTAGCTCGGGCTAGCTTTACCGCTACGCAGAGTATAGCCCGAAGTTATTTAATAGCCCTTTTATTATCCTAGCTACTTTCTAGAGTCTAATATATTAACCTAGATATATTAAGAAGGCACCCTATAGTAATAAGGGGAGCTAAATTAGTTATCTCTATAAGATAATAGTAAATATTATATTAACTCTAAGCTAGCTTAAAGAATAAATATAGGAAAGAAGTTTAATTTCATACTTCTAGGAGGGGATTAATCTCTTTATTAAGAAAGTAATTATATCTTTGACTTAGCCTCTAGTTGCCTATAATGCCTAATAGGCGTTATAAGAAGTATAATTATTATTACTTTCGCGCCTAGCTTCGCTATATATTTATTAAGTAATAAAATAAAGAACTAAATTACTAATTAAAAGTTATAAATACCTATTTAATTATTATAATTTTTAGCTACTCTTAAACTATAGGTATACTAGCTAGTATTTCTATTTACCGCTACTTAGGTAAGCTAGACCCTATCTTATCTAGCTATCTATAGTAGCTATAAACTACTTAAGGGGGCCTAGAGACCGGCCTGGTCCCCTATACTTAGTTTCGGTTATACTTAGAAGACTAAGCACAGGGGGTATATTAACTTAGGAAATAGCTAGTTAATTAGGGAAACTAAGGAAGATACTTCTATTTCTATAAAGATTCTTAATAAAAATAAATACTTAAATTAATTAAGAAAACTTATAAAGTTTAAAATTATCTAAGTAACTTAAGATAAAAAAGATATAATTACTTATTAAAAGATATTAGATAATAAAGTCTTAAGTTATTTAAGAAGATATATTATATATAGGAAAAAGTAATTTCTTTCTCTATATAAAAATATATAAAAAAAGAAGTATTTTTTTCCTTAATTAACCGGCTATTTCCTTAGTTAATATACCCCCCATACTTAGTCTTCCGAGCATAATAGAATTATAGAAGACTAAGTCATAGGAATAGGCCGGACTATAGGCCCCCTTAAGTATTAATTTAAGCTATTTAGAAAGCCTAATATAAGCATATAAGGCATACTAACTTTATCTATATTAAATTTACCTTATTACTAGATAATAATAGGTAATTAATTATCTTATATTGCCTACCCGGTCTATCTAGCTTTACCTAGGTTATTAGGAGGGGCTATAACTAACCTATAGGTTAAAAAGGTTAATAGTCTCTACTATATATAGTTATATTAGTAACCTTATAAGAGAGGTAAGATAATAAAAGAAGGATTAAAGAGAAATAAGAAGAAGAGGGAAGGAGAAGGAGAGTAGTACTTAGACGCAACGCGTGCACGGGCTAGATAGAGTGAAATTAAATGAATTACGAGCACGACTGCGTATAGTAGCCCCGCCCGAGCTAATGACCACATGGGAACGCGCCCACCCCACAGACGTGTGATGTCGTCGCGTCTTATCCCTCACGAAATCGCTTTGTTTAGTAGCATAATACTTTCATCATGGCGGAAGAAATGCCAAGCCTACTCCCAGACATCGCTGCCCTTCGACCCCACTCCTATTCGCCCTGCCTCAAGTTACTCATCCAAAACAACTCGCCGTCTGGCAACATTATAGCGCGATTCTGTTATGAAGATGTCGCGAAGAACGCGTCATTGGGTTATATTCTTTTCCAAGCACACAAGCGGAAACTCAACAGTTTAGCCAAGCCCTAGTATCGTCAATTTCATACGCTTATCGTACGTGCGCACATCGACTATGCCGAAAACTCATTAATGTGTCTCGGCTTGAATTAGAGCCTCAGCCCAAATATTGGACAGGAAATTGATCTACTGCAGCCGTTTATTCAAGCCGGTACGAATTAAATCTTTCCCCTGCCTAACAAAGATGGACCTTATTCTGATCATGCTATAGATCATCCTGCTTCTGAGTTCATTCGAGTTTCGCCTTTCAACCTATACCCTGGGTCGACAAGTAGTTTTATTTAGATGAAACGGTATTTCGACCGCTATCGGGAGAATCATTCGGAGTGCAATAAACGTCTTAACGAGCATCGACATAATTACGCCATGCCCAAGAGACTACTAGATGTTAGCCGAGTTGAGGAACCCATCATGCGCCTATTCACAACCGATCCTACCACTGTGGAGAACTATGCTATTGCCAGCTATGCCTGGGGTATTAGCTCGAAAGCAGACGCCATTCACCAAGCCCGAACGACCCAGGCGAATATAGGACCAAGGATGGAACATGGGTTGCAACTCGCGAGTCTGCCGAGGACCGTCCGGGACCTAATTGAAGTAACGCGAAGTATTAGTCACCGAAACCTTTGGATTGATGCTTTCTATATAGTCCAAGATAATCCGGTCGAGCAACGGCATCAATTAGATAGAATAGCCGAGTTTTACAAACGAGCCGACATCCTCATCTCTACTGCAAGTGCTTCGCATTGCGGTGAAGGATTCTTACAACCTCGAAACGTTGACCAGTGCTATAGTGCCATCTACGAGTTACCTTTCAAATGGGAATTCCCCAATCGCGAGGTCAAAGGTTCAATATTCCTGTGCGAAAAGACCCTGAACTACATTTCAGACGAGGACCCTCTACACATGCGGATTTAGACTTATCAAGAGCACCTCGTCTCGACGCGTGTCATTAGTTTTGGCACACGACAAATCAAATAGAAATATCAAAAGGACGGCAACGTGGTCGACGGTGGTGATTACTCAATACCAGATGGTGACCTAGAGCATCACCTTAACGAAGCATTCTCGCCATCCCCATATTCTTCCGAGAATCTTATGGAGATTAATTAGAGAGTTCAAGCCTAGATGAAAATCGTTGAGAAATACTCATTCCGCCATTATTCTCGTCCCCAAGATAGGCTACCAGCTTTCTTTGAATCGATATCGTATTTGGCGCCTTTCGTGGGTTGGCCAACGTCGGAATGTCTGGCCGGGATATGGAAAGCTGACGCCGCCCGACAACTTCTTTAGAAGAAGGAGAAACCTCTAAGTGCGGAAGAAAGTAACCCGGACCAAATCTCTAGACCTTCGTGGTCTTAGGCGACATTACCGGGCGGAGTTATCTACGACTTTAGCGTACAGCTCCGTGATTTAAACGATTCGTTTAAGACTATCGAGTTTATGGAGGAGCCTGAAACGCCACTCCGCCTTATTACGGAAGGATATATCCAAGAAGCCTACTGGAAGAAGGAGTTCTTCGGGAATCTTATAAAACGTAAGCCCTTTAGATCGGTTAAGAATAATCTACTCGTCGAGGTAGCATAGGATATTGAAGTACTGCCCCAGTCGGTGTGGTTGCTCAATGTGGCGCCGAACTATCAACCATACATAGATATAGGATTAGTTTTAGTGAGGATAGCAGAGGATGCAGATTGTTTTGCACGGCGAGGCTTCTTTAGGGCGGTGGGCTCTAGCCTGTCGGGGCTAAATGGGCGATCCTTGGATAACCAGAGCACCCTTTACTCAGACCAACGAGAAGTATACCGCAACATTTCCATAGTCTAGTTCGTACCGTGTTGCGGGCACTCTTACTAGTCGGACTTCGAGCAGCAGACATTACTTCTTAGGCGACCAGTCTTTGTAAAAAAAGATTACCAGTCTATCAGCTCCCTATATTACTTAAGAATTTCAACAACGGAACCGTACGCCACACCACGACGAACATCAGTAAAAGCAAAGTTCACAATTCTAAATCAAACAAGGGCAGAGTTCCGAAGCGAGAGAACACTGCCAGAATTAGGAGATCCTCTGGGAGGGTCGATTCAGCCCTATCTGGAAGACATACTCGCCTACTATACGACCAGCTATCGTGGAAGGAGGCCAGCATACTAGCATAGCTTAGGACCGAAATAGCCCGACTAAATAGCTATCTATATTAGATTTAAGCTACGCTAAGAGATAAATGCCTATGTAGATAAGTAAAAGAAATGATAGAGTATTTTCTCTTTTACTATATGAATTAGATAATATATTATAAAGAGATGCTTTAATATACGGATATAAAACGCGGTAGCCTCTCTTTCTATCTAAGAGGAAAGGCAATATTAGATAGACAGAAATAGACACTAAATATAGTCGCTATACGAGCCATAATTAAATTCGCAATCGCTACGGGTCGCCTTAATCAGAGATAATCCAAATCCCGCTAACCTATCAATACTAACTATACACCCCTCGTACAATCAAAAGCAGGCACTACTTTAGCCGCCGAAAATAAGAAACCGAATACTTAGAGGAATTAGGCTTTAAGTTAACTTATTACTAACCTTCACGAGGACTAAGAAGAAGAGTGATAACTAGACTAAAAGAATAAGGTGGGATCCATAAGGGCTTAGCGAGATCAAAGCAAGAACTAGAGTTATATATATATTTTTAGCATCAGAGCCCTTTAGGCATAGCCTAACGGGCGTAAGAGACTTGTCTGTCTGTCTGCAGTAGGGTCATATCAATACCCTAATAAACCAAAGTAGGATCGCATCCTTGGATTCTCTACCTTTTCCAGCACAATCCGGTCGATAGCGCTAATAAGCGAGTCCCAATCGCAGCGAATTTGGATACCTCGTTCTTTGCCCCCGGGATTACGGAACCTAACCCACTGTTTTGCGCTCAAGCAGTTCGCGACTAGCAAGCTTTCGACGCTTAGCTTATCGCGAAGGACACGGAAGATTAGTGGCCAACCTTGAGCCTCATGGATATGCACCCCGTTGAAGAGCACGTCTTTTAAGGTGCCCTAATGCCGGCATAGAATCTTAACCAACGCATCAGCGGTGCAATTCACCCAGTAGAGCTCCAAGTGCCGGAGGGCTATCATCTGCAGAGATCCGGCGATCGCGGTGACTAGGGACGACTTGTTACGGCCACCCATACGCAGATCGAGAAGCGTCGCTATCGGGAAAAGCTCGATGAACCGCACGAGACTACCCGCCCCGCTATCCGAGAGGGCAAAGTACTCCGAACAGACGTTCAAGCGGAGGGTATTCAGGTCGGGGAAACAGGAGCGTATCCGCTACGCAGCGAGATCCGAGATAAACTCATATGAGCCGGCGTGAAAATCCAGGGGGTTAAACAGTATATCAAGCTCCTCTACCAAGACACGGCTCGCAACTACAGCTGCGAGCACGACTTATAAGGCATGTCTCGCGAACTCGCCACTCTCAATCGCGTCGGTATTAGTAGCCGGCCATAAGCCCGTTTGTTTGGCCTGTAGCCTTACGCCCCAAGGACGGTCTTAGCCTAAGAGAATGATCGTCCTGCAGTTCGGCATTGCAGTGAGCGCCAGGGTCAAGAATGCAGTAGCCATACCACACTCCATTATATATCTTTGATCGTCCTAATAACGGCCATACGCGATAGTATTTACTACTGCCTTCTCCTCCTCGGCGGAAGACTCAACGTCTGGCACGCGGGAATCTTCAGACCACGGACTACTCGGCGAAGAGCCCTGGCCTTCTAGACTAGGCTCCTCATCTATTTCCACTTCATTACCTTCCTCTGGGCGGTACTGCATATCCCATTCCCAGAGATCAGGGTCTTTTGTGATATGGGCGATGCTAATATCGAGTGACTGCACTGTGGGACCGAACGTCGGGTGACGCGCAATATCGATAAGAGCCTCCAGACTATGCCGCTGCAGAAAGACACAGCAGCGTTCGAAGTATCGCGTGGCGAATTGCGAGGCTATGCTATTATTAATCAACCGGGACGTTTGCCGAAAGCTGAAGAAGGCTTGGTCATCGAGAAGATTAGCAATCGAGCAAAGCATCTCGATTGGGAGATGGGAGATAGTAGGCATTTTAAACGAGGCGAGGGTACACCATATTAGACGTCGAGCGTAGCGTTCAGTTCAGTTCAGTTCGAATTTATGACTACAGATATACCCGGCGAGCGGGGTTATCAGGTGACTCTACACTCCGTGATCAGTGACGGGTTTAGGGTATCGGATTTCGCTTATATTTAGGCAGACTCAGCCAATGAGATAACGGTGCCTCAATTCGCCTAATAAGATAAGATAAGATAGGACAGGATAAGATAAGGCATAATACGGATACTGCAATAAAACACCGTGATTAAACTATGTCGCATATCAAGCCCTAGCCCCACTAGACCAACTGCTGTTAGAATGGGGATAGCAATGAGGTAAGGATCACGATCATCATGAACGACCACGATTAGCACCAGACAGCAGGCTACTGCCTAAACAGGCAATACTTTCATTTATGTATAAAAGAGCTGACCAGTCTCGGTGCATCCTCTCGAGAAATTCTTACTCTTTAGATAATTCTCATCAATTTACTGATGCCATCTCTGATCCCTATGGAGCCAATTGTCTGACAAACTGCCTAAGCCGTCATTCACTATTTATTATAAATTTCTAGAGTCGCCAAGGAGTCTTCCAACCGGCTTCCATCTGATTAACTATTACATCACCTTGTGTCTCTGTCTATAGGGTTTAGGCCCTTCCTTTTCGAGCGTTTTTTTAGAGTCCGTACGTACCATATAACTGCATAGAAGCCTGGGTATTACCCATTATTGACATCCTCGAGCCAGTTATTTAAAATAAAGAAATAGAGTCGCTCGCTAAAATCTTATCTTTTAGTTCTATCTTGCCGTTATGACTTAGACTTACGCTTTATAGCCATGGCTATAAGGGTCGTTATTAAATAGTTTTAATAAAGCTTTTACTACGAGTCCAGTTAGGAGCATAGTGACCGTCCTCTCTCACAACATACTTGCGATTTAAATTTGATCCCCACACAGTATTAAGAAATCTCTCATCTCTATATTATACATCTAATCACAGTTCGGATGACTTTACCGGAGAAATTTTGCCGTCACTTTCAGACGTATCTTAGCTACTGGCCCGAAGTACTTTAATTAATAATCCACACTGTCCATATGGAGCCGGGATATCTTTGAGCGAAGAAGATACTTATAACTACCAAAAAGTACCTTTTTCATTCGGCTAATATTGAACTAAAAGCATACTAGAAGCCTAATGTCCAGCCCACTTTGACACCTTAGCCGTTTACAAAGTAGACAATCATACCTTAAAGTCCCAACCATTCAACTCCAAAAAGCGTCTTAATATACGAAGAGGAAACTACACCTACTCACAACTATATTAACGCTGATTTTGCACTAGGTAGTGCGGAATAGTAAACAGGATCGTATTCTTAGTTTTCGATCTCGGAGCCCTGACTTTATATACCTAAAATTGACCCTAGGTAAGCCCAAATTCCGACACTTGGCGACTTAAGACCAATCAACGACCTGGCTCAGTATCAGCCGATTTTGCGTCAACGCATAGACCCTGCGCGCCTATTCATATGGCCGATTCTATTAGAATCGCACTATTATTAACTACTAGGGCTTTTACGTAACCGCTATAGGCCCTCTTATAAAGCTTACTAGTATTAGAGAAGCGGACTTATCTATGGAGGAGGTAAGCGAGATTATTAGCACTTATAAGCATATCTAGATACTCTTTACTAAGTATCTTTTTATATCTCTTAAGAGCTTATTAATTTATTTACTTTACCTCTTTATATTATCCTCGGTATTATAGTATTAAAGCTAGATTATTAATACTTATAAGT